GACATGACACTAGTCCCAGCACTGTCTGTCCAGCAGCCAGAGTGTCTTGGGCTATGCAGGTCACTGAATGTGGAACAGCTCCTGTGCTCCTCAGGGAAATCTCTGAGTTGCTCCGTTAGCCACAGGAAGATCTGCCTTGGATGGAAATGCTGTTATCAGGAGCATTTGCAGTACACCATAAAGAGAAGATGCACCTGAATGGAAGACTCACCCTAACTTTGCTTTGTAAATGAATTGAGGAAAGGACATGAGGTGGAAGATTAATTAATATAATTTTTCTGGTTTTTTCATTCTCTTTAATGGAAACAAACAAAAAGGAAATATGACACTCATTTTCAGTGGAAATTTCTCTTTTTAGGCATGTGGCAGGTTTGGTACTGGTCAATCACCTGTGCACTCACTTCCTGCTGTGAGGTAGGATTTGGACAAAGGCAAAGCAGGCTCAAAACTTTAAAAGGGTATAAATAAAATTTTATTAACAGTAACTAAAAGGGGTAATAAGAATGAGAACAAAACCTTCAGAACACTTCTCCACCCACAACCTTTTCTTTCCCATTGAAAATGTAAAGAAACAAAACCTAAATTTCAGTCAGTTTACCACCTCTAGAATAGTGTTTCTTCAGTTCACTTAGGGAGAGAAGTCCCTTTTGTAAATGTTATGGAGACTTCTCCACAAGAAAAAAACCAGTTCTCTTGTGCCTCTCAATTTTATCACAAATAGCAGCCATCCAAGGAAATCTGCAATCATGAAGTCCCTCCTATTTTCCATAAGCTTTTCCCACAGCTGTGTTTATGGGCCATGTCAGATTATGGGGTACAGTTTTAAAGATGAGCTGTTCAAAGACAAAAGTTCTCATTAGCTGACTCTTAAATCATCTTAATCTCTGGGAACAGAGGTCTTCTCTTCCTGGGGGCACAGGATCACTCCCCTCTGTTCAAACTTCTCATAGAATCACAGCTACTTTTATGTCTGCTTACTTTAGCATGGAGGCCTTTGCTCAATATCTACAATTTGAACATATTCATTTCCCCGTACCTTCATACGTTATAGGGGAAAAGAGTCTCCATAGCTTTTCCAGAGGATTTCAGCCCCAAGACTAAGGCATCTCCTCATCCCTCCAATCTGGGACTTGACTACTTCTTCACTGACCTCGATGTCTTCATGTTGCCTCTTGTTCCTTTCTCTCACTCGAGGGAGGATTGAAGCACTGAAAGAGTTAATATCTCACCTGGGGCCTGCAGATGGTCAACCTGACCCCGGTGGGGATCAGACAGGCCAGAACTCAACAGCAGTGTGCCAGGGGAGGAAGGGGCAGAGGGGGTAGAATTTTGTTCAAAATTCTAACTCCACTACCTGGTGGCTGTGATGGTAGCATTTTGTCCAAGCTGGCTTGGCCCAGGGCTGATCCTGGGGCCCAGCGGAATCAGCTCAGCCCTGAAATTGCAGTCATGGCCTGGCCCCTGGGACCCCCTCGCTCGCAGCCGGCGGGGGGGCCAGCGGGTGCCCCAGGGGGAGAAGAGGTCTGGCCCACGGCTGACAGGCCAGCCTGGCCAAGAGAGGGGGAGGGGCTGTGTTACCTCTTTGCTGGCCAGAAGAGAAAGAGGAAGTTCCTGGGTTTCTTCCATCTTTAACATGTGTTTTTCACAAAGTGTCCAGCTTTCACTGCAAAGCTAGAAGTTTGCATCACTTCCCTAAATATCTCCCATGCAAAGCCATGACAATGTTGTGTCTGGTGTCCCATGTGTGGAGACGTGAATCTCGACTCCATGTTTCAGAAGGCTGGTTTATTATATTATGTTATATATTATATTAAAATGTTACATTAAAACTATACTAAAAGAATAGAGAGAAAAGGATTGATCAGAAGACTAGAAAGAACAAGAATTGAATGCGATAAAAAAGACTTGTGACTCTCAGAGTCCGATGCAGCTGCAGCTGTGATTGGCTCTTAATTAGAAACAACCAACATGCACCAATCACAGATGCACCTGTTTCATTCCACAGCAGCAGACAGTTATTGTTTACATTTCTCTCCTGAGGGTCCTCAGCTTCCCAGGAGGGAAAAATCCTAGCAAAGGATTTTCCATAAAATATCATGGTGACATGACAAGGCATCATAGCCAACAAAAGAGACAAGACCAAAAAGGAAGATACTTTTTTGTCTTTTTTTTTTGACAGTTGGTAAGAACCTAGAAGTAATAAATTTTGAGAGCCACTGCTATTGTGTCAGTCAATTACATCTTGCCTTCAAAACAGATTCCCAAGTTTTTCTGAATTGATTCTCACAATCACTGGGCTCATATCTGCTTACTTTTTACTCCCTCAAAAGGTCACTCGTCCATCAAGTTTCCTTGCCTACATTCATTTTTGACATAGCAGCTTGCCTTTTCCATCCTCCCTTCTTCCACCTCCTTACCCCACTGAATGCAAGGGCCCACAGGGTATCTCAAATGGAGCAAAAGCACATGAGGTGTTACTGCTCTGAACAGCTCTGTCCTTCAGCGTGAGATTGTTAAAGGCACAAAGGGACTGAATTCAAGCCTTGGGATGAAACAGGAGAGGATAAAATTGCAGAATCAGGTCATGCTCTGCTTCCCAACCAGATCAGCAAGACCTGAGAATAAGATCTGAGCCTTTTTGTTCTAGCACTGTCATCGTGTTAGTCCTTGCTAAGTGTGATTCCTCAGGTGTTTTTATGCCAGCTGCTGCCTGACAGACTTACCCCCATCAAGTACCTGCTCCTTTGGCTTCTAAATACAGAGTTCTACATTGACCTTTACTAAACTTTGTGTTCCCTTATCTTCTCAATGTGTTATGTTTGAAATTGTTTTGACTTTTTTCTTGTTACTTTCAGCCCTCTCTTCTGATCCCCAGGCTTACAAGTCAGTCATTTATGATACCCTGAATGGCATAAGTCTGCCCAGCAGTGTTAAAAACAATATTGAACATGATCTGGACTCACCACAAAAGGAGATTGCTTTAATTGCCCTCCCAATTTTGCTGTCAACCAGTATATGCAGTGTGACTGTAACCATGCTATTGCAACCAAGTTCATCATATCCATGTAAACAAGTGGATATTCCTGGAAATATTGCTGCTGCTGGCAGTGTTTCTGAATGCCTTTCATTGCTGTTGTATGAATTTCTAAGAACCTAAGTCTACTTCCAGTACTTTCATTTCCATGAGCAATGTTTGTACATTGCCATCTCCACACCAATTTCTGTCTCTTTCGTCACAGGCCCTCCCCAATTCTTTCATCTCTTGTATTTTCTGTCAGTGGCTTATTCAAGACGTAAGTTATCTTAAGGATGACCACAAACCTCTTTAACATAGTTTTTATTTACTATTTCATTTTCTTCAAAATGTTCCATGGTCAGTTGCTTTGTCATTTTTGCTACTACATTCCTATGTATCAAGTTAAGGTGACTGTTCTATTGTGATTCATCCTTCACAAGTTTTTAAACACTGCTGATATGTATGTTCTCCTCCAGCAATCTGGTACCTTTCTGGTTGCTTATAGATAACTTATAGTTGTTCAAAGATGCCTTGTCACAGGACTTTCTACTGCTCTGCTTTTGAACTCATTCATTTATTTTCTAAATGATCTAAGTATTAATTCTAGCATTCCTATTTTCTTGCAAAACTCTGCATGTCCACTGATGTGAAGGCAGAATCAACAGAGGCTTTAGAAGGATGAAAGGATGAAGCAAAAAAGTCTGAATAGGTCATTCTTTCTGACTCAGTTTTTTATTTTTGCATCTTATCTTCTCAGGTGATGAATCTATAAATTGGGTGGGGCTTTTCCTGGTTTTAATTCAAATATATATACAGAACCTTATTTTTCCTTCTTTTTTTTTTTTCCATAACAGGTCCTTGGAAAATCTGAAATATTGTGTCTAGAGAGGCAAATGCCAATGGCAGTACAAGAGAGCTGGGTAGAGCAATGTCTCACATCATCACTCTTGACAACCCCACTATCTCAATAAAGGAGTTTTCAAGAAAGATACAAACAAAGCAGAGGGGTTCCAAGGGAGGACCACAAAGCTGAGAAGGCTCAGGGACAATCTCAACACAGTTTCCAATGCTTAAAGGGCAGCTACAAAGAGGATAAAGGCTCCCTATTCACCAGACACCACATGGAGAAAAAAAGAGGCAGTGGGTTCAAGTTGCAAAAGGGGAGGTTTAATCTTGATACATGAAACTCTTTACAGCAAGAACAACCTGTTGCTGGAACAGTGCCTCCAGGAATGTGGTAGAATCCTCATAACTGGAGGTTTTCAATTTATGATATCGAGATAGAATCTCATCCAGGCTCCCTTGCCCATGAAAGGTTGTACAAGATGACTTTTCAATGTCTCTTCCAACCTGGGCTGCTCTGTGATTGTGTAGAAAGCAGTACCTCTGAGAGAATCTTGCCTATTGATATCATCCCAAATCTGAAATCTGTCTTGATATTTTGCATTCAGAGAGATGAAAAGCCCTAAGAACTCTGATCCATATTCCCCTTCTATCTTCTCCCTCTAGTTTTGATTTAGTTTGTGCTGAATTCATGGAAGATCTCCTTTGACATTAGGCTTCTGTCATATCCCTATTTTTGCTAGTGATATTTTCTGTGAAGATGTTGCCTGATTTCAAACATTTTTAAAGAAAAAAATTATCTGCATACTAAATAATTAGAAATCGTCTACAAAGATAGAATTTGTCTAGAAAGAAAAGGGGCATTTCCTTCCAGGTGACAGCTGGAACAGGGCTGTTGAGTTTTTGTAAATATGATTAGTTGGCATCTTCTTCAGCAAATCAGTATAGCAAAGATCTCACCATTAAACAAAAGGCTCATCACTCATCACTGTTACTGTAAACACTGCTGCAATGACTCTTAGAGTAATTCTAAGGTGCTTGGATCATTTGATCTAGTTTTCCAGTGTATAGCATTCAGATGATCTTAGTCTGCCTTGCACAGTTCTTGCTCTCATAACATGTAACCACATTTCATTTCTACTCAAACTTTGCAGTATAAGTCATACTTCAACTTTTTCCCGAGTGTCGTTCCTGCTATATGTTCTTCAAATGCTTTGTCCATTTTCTCATTCTGATCTTCACTGAAAAGATTCTTCCAGTCACTTACACCACCTTCAAAGAAGCAGGAACAAACTCTTAAAAACCAAGAAATTTCATTATTTTTCTATAGAGATATTATTTTTATTGCACTGTACACTAAATAGTGTTGATCCATTCTCCAGATGGAACATTTTTCTACACCAATAGAATTTTGTGAAATCAGTGGAGTTTCATATACATGTGAATAATCTTTTGCTATAATGCCAAAGAACATACTGTGTTCAAAAAGGCAGCCTAAAATCCTATTTCCCTCCATGTCTCTCCTCCAGTCAGTTATGAATGGCAAAGTGAAAGATCATGAAGAATTAATTAAGAATCATCTGCTGGGAGGTAGAGCTGGGTTTCTGCTCCTTTGGTAGCTTGGTTTTTTATCCAGTTACTTCTTTAATGTAGAATGCAGAAATAGATTCAAAATCCAGGTTGCCCTTCTCATGTCCATGTCCCACAAAATACACTGCAAAAGTTGTTGCCTTTTGTTTCCTCTCTTGTGTCTTCCGGGATTCTTGCTTGCTTGGCTTAGCTCTAATGTGTAAGAGTGAGCAGGGATCTGGCAGTGGCCATCTCAGTGGAGAAGATTCCTAAACTCTCATATAAAGGCTGGTCATACCACTCAGGCTGAGTTTGGCCCTGTGCTGCCTGCTCCAAAGGCTGGGCAACTGGGGATCCAAACACAGAGCTGGAGAGGAATTCAGACACATGACAGTTCCTCCTTCCTGCCAGCAATCTGAGAGCCTCCAAGAGTTTCTCTGCTGTGAGAGCCTTGCTGGGTATCTTCCTCACCAGTTCTCCTTGAATAGGCTTCTCAAGCAAAGCAGCGATAACCTGCTTTGCAATGCTACTATGAGTGCAGGAAAAAGAACCAAAGGATGGCCCAAGTTCTTGAGAGTGGGACATTTCTACCTCTGAGTCCCTTGGAGCTTCCTACCTTTGCGAAAGAGAACCTTGCCAAATGACCCATGGGTCTTGTCTGAGTTTTTCTTCATAGACTGGAAGCTGCTCCTCTCTACCACCAGCTGGAGCTCTTCCTCAGTCAGAGCAATTCCAAAGAATGTAGCTATGTTTTTCACACTCAGGGCAGGATTCTGGAAAGAGGAATGCAATACATGACATGACTTTCAAACAAATGACGCTGGTTTCCAAGGTGTTTACACTTCCCTGTATCTCTCTGCTGGCTGCATACATAGGATATTCATGAATTTCTCTAAGACTAGGGTGGGCCATAGTGTTTCTCCTCTCCATAATTACTTTGGAGGAGATACAAGCTGCTTTCTGTACACTACAACATATTATATATGATTTACATTTGTGTAAAATATACAGTGCTGAAAACACAGAAGCTCCTCCCCAAAGATTGATTACTGTTGATTTTGGTTTACAATGATTTGGGCTTTATTACAGAATTCACAGAATATCTCTAGGTTTGGAGACACTGTAGAGATCAATGAGTCCAACCCATGCTCTAGCACCTCAACTAAACCATGGTATTGAGTTTCATATCCAGTCTTACAGATAAATAGAAAACAAGAATCATTTTCACAAGCAAAAGTTTAAGAAGGCTTTAAATTTTGAATTTCACCTCTTCTTCCCTTAAAACAGATTCTTAAAACAAGAATCTGTCTCACATACCTTGGATACCCTGCATATATAATGGTGTATTGGTTCAGGAAAAAAAGGTCCCTTGAAGTATAAAGTATTTGTAAGTGTTCTTAACCTTACCTCTTTTACCTCTTCATAAGTCATTGTCATAATATTTTCTGTGTCAGCATATTTGTTCCATTCAGAAAGGTATTCAAGGTAGCATCCCCAGGCCGCTAAATAAAATGGAACAATACTAAGATGAAGCATAAATTAAGGTTATACATGTTTTGCTCATTAATTTGTGTCTGCCAAGGGCTTTATTAATCATGTCAGTGGTAGGGTTTACACACTTCTGTAAGATATATAGGTTTAGCTCCAGACTCAGGCATATGATACTATTAGTAAGTCAGAAAAATAAAATTTGGTAGTATTTCAAGATAGCTTCGAGTTCACCAAAAAAGCTATCATCTTGCAGACCATCTTGAAAGATCCATCCCTTAATTCAGTCTAGAACCTTGTTGAACCCCCTCTTCTGTTGGCAATGTGCTACCCAAAACTCATAACTCTAAACTAGTGCTATTACTTTTTCTCTTTTTTAATGCATTAGATTTAGTCCCCTTTTTAATGCACTAGACTTAGTCCAAATAATTCCTTTCATCCAACGTGGCATGGAGGTGATTATGTAGCTCCATGGACACAAGACAATGGACATAGGAGAGCAGGGATAAAGGGGACCCAAGACAGAGATAAGGAAGAACTGCTTCTTCCAGGAAAATTACCAGTTTGTGCATATTTTAAAAACCTGTGCAAGTGCAGTTTTGACAAATATTTATCCTCAAACAGTAAGGCAAGCATGGTAAACTTCAATTCAGATGTCTAATTCTCTGTCTTTAATCTCTGCTTTTGTACTGTAGAGCAAAAATTCCTAGAGAAGCTGATTTACCAAAGTACAAGGGTTTTTAGACAAAAGACAAATCAATGGACAATTGACGCAGAGAGAAAAATATACTGTACTTTTCTTTGTCATGAAATCTGTGAAGAAATCATCCCAGGTCTCATAGGAGGGAAGAGTAGGCAGGCCATTGGAAAAATGGTAGAAAGATGTAGCAACATCTTTTGGATTACGAATCAGTAATAATATCTAGAGAAAAATTAAATTAATTTCTTATAGAGAAAGACATAGCAGACTACAGTATTAAAAAAGAAATAATAATAATAATAATATACTTTCTAACTGCAGTTGTGGATTTCTAATACCTTGTGTGCTTCTGGCAGAAGTAGCACTTTCATTCCTGGGTCCAAATTTAACTTTGTATTTAACTTTGTTAACAGTGTTTAACTTTGCTTTCGTACCATGAGAAGATGGTTGCCTATAATTATTATCTTTTATAGCTGAACCAAATTATTTATGCAGAATCTGAGCATGTTTTGCTCAATACAAATTTAATCTTTTAAGTAGCAAGGAAAATTCACAAAAATATAAATTCTCCTTGAAATTTGACACATTGAAGCCCTCACTTGCAACAATGCCATAAATTTCCTCCCACAGGAAATCACGTCAACATCCATTTTGCCACTGGAGGATTTGTTCAAGCCCTGCAACTCTCTTGTGGAAACTGCCACAGTGGTGCCAATAAGGGCAAACTGTGGTTAAGTCAGATGAATGGCAGTACTTAAACAGTCATGTTGAAATGGCTGGGCTAAATGCAGCGATTCTGAAAAGTGGCAGAAAAGTACTACATTGACATTAATAAAAAAAATCTGCTGAAGTGTTTTCTTTTATACATTAAAATCAGCACTCACCTTGGCATTGTTTTTGAAGATAGATTGGGGAAGATTTTCAGGGCGGAGATTAGTAACCATAAATCTTGGAGAAGGTAATTTGATCATTCGCTTGAAGAATTGGGAGGAAAGTGGACAGTTCAGTTAGTACAAGTGTTCTTTTCAGTAACCTATGCTAAAATGTGGCCTTGATGAACTTTTCAATAGTTATTGGCTGATTGAAGTGGTTTTTGGGTTTTTTAGTGAGTGTTGCCCTGTGATATTAGTGGGCACTGAGTAGCTCTAATCTTCAAAAGCCCATGAGCAACTGGAAAAAGTCTATCCATTGTTAGTTCTTTTCAGTGATAATTCTCTTCCGTTCTGTTATGTAAGGGATCAAATCCAGAGGAAGGGTACACACTAGCTATCTGTGAAAGCTGTAGCATCTCAAGGAATGAGAAATGGGATGAAGAGGAAGAGCTAGAAAAAGAGACAAATGCTCATATTGCATGATTTGATGAAGCTCTTCTTATATACGAAAGATGCTATGTTGAATTTCTGAAGTTATGTATCTCATGGGTATGTCCTCCGCTCAGTCCCAATGAAGTGTTCATTGATCACTCAGTATTTGACAGTCCAGATGAGATTACTCCTGACCAGATGCCACATAAAAAGAAATTGTAAAGTTCTTATCAAACAATGGAATAGTTCATACATCATATATTCAGTATTTGAAGCAAATAATGTTGATTATTTCCATACATAGTGTATTCCCACCTCATATTTTTCAGCATCTCCAACTTCGAGGTAGGGGAATTCTTCTGGTTCTTCAGCATTCACATTGCTTTCACTACCTGGTGTTTTCTTTTGAGATATGGCTATCAGGTCAGTTAAGATTTGACTTAGCCAGTTTGTGCCTGAAAGAATAGAGAAGTGCTTGTAAACCTTTTAGAATGGACAGAAATGGATTTACCAGGAAAAGGCAAGAGCTGGTAGTACTACCAGGTGAGTTACCTGGTCGCCTTTTATGTCATACAATCACAGCTGAGCTGTCTTGTCAATCACTTCCCAGAGTCCTACCTTTGCTCCTCATAAGGATATATTTCTCCAACTTGAACAGTTTAGTAAACCATAAATTACCTTATATATTGTAAACTAACTAATAAGGGAGAAGAACCAATGAGATTCAAGTAGGAAAACCTGCATTAATGTAATAAATTTTATTGTGACAAATGTAAGGGAGAATGGGGGGGTACACTTGTACTTTAAAACCTAAAGTATTAAATGTTTCCTGCTGTGATGACTATCTTCGGAAGAAAGACGGGTCACAGTACTTCAAGACAGGAGCAGAACTAGATCTGAAAATTGCACATTCATTTTCTTTAACAATAGGAAAACCTCTCTAAAGTGACATTTCCTAGACACACTTGTTATCTTTTCCTTCAAAATGTAACAAAGAGCCTGCATAGATCTCCCATCTATGATTTACCATTTCCTGACTTCTGGACACTGGGTGCCTTTTTCACTGAAATCTTAACAAGTGCATTCCAGTGCATAACATTTCTTCAAAAAGAGAATACAATAAAAAACCAAATTCTTCACAGTCCTGTCAGCTATGACTATCTGCTCTAAGGCAGTGTGAACCAATTGCTGGAAGAAAGAAGCAGCAAGAATAAAGTGTACATGAGGCCCATCTAATCCAAAACTTGGCTTGCATGTAGACCAGTGCTTTGAGGCAGATTGAGGTATAAATAGAAGATAACAAAACAAAATTACATTAATTGCAGATTGGAATTTAAATGTCATGTCAAAATGACCATGGTGAAAATCCTCAAGGCAGTCCATCTCTTTCCAGTAATCACTGCTGGGATTTTTCCTTTTTCCTGATTATATCACCCATCATTCTCACCAGAGTTAGATAAAATGTGTTGGAAATGGGAGAGAAAATGTTCAGTGCACTAGAGACTGACTGAGGACAGTCCTGTGAGTGTGGCTGATTGCTGCCTGCAGCTGGTGCCCAGGAGGGCACAGGGGCACAGGCACTCTTGGGCCACTCATCAGACTGCACTACAGAGGTCTCTTTTTCTTCTGGTTACACAAAGATTACTCATTCCTACATTTCTCTGATGAGCTCAATCATTGTTCAACAACTGATCAGTGCTTAGGGAGTTGCTAATAATATAACCTCAGCTACAGTGAGTAGTGTTTACCACGCACTTCAGATGACGACCTGCTGACTGCACTGAGCCCAGTAAAAGAACTGCCTTTAGGCTCAGATTCGATATTTAAGTATCTGGCAAAAGGATGGATGTGTCACAAAATATGAGAAAATAGTTCTCCCCAACAATTTATGCCAAGAATTTACATGCCATCCTTTCTTATCTCCATCTCTTGACTGCTGCCTGTTGGGCACTGGAAGGAAGGGGATCAGCAATTAGACACATGTATGTTTTTGCCATTTGCTCTCCCTGAGGGATTCAACGGAGATACAGGGCTCTCCCTGGTCCCTGAGCCATCATGAACTGCTCATGGGATGATCTAGCCCTACGTTTTTACATCTACTTTTTCCAGTCCATACACAATCTTTTGCTTTTCCCTTCATAGCCGTTCTTTCTGTAAAACCTTGTCAGCATAGAAAGACTGCCTATGTACAGGCATAATCTGAAGCCAGTGGATATCACATGGCCTGGTCCATCTGATCAGTGACGTCTGCTAAAGGGCAAAAGTTGGCACCACCCACACCATTTTTTTCACTGACATCAGCTAAAACTTGCTGTCCTACGAAATAGCTCTTTTGCTGATTCTTGATGTGAAACTAGCCGCCCTAGCAGAACAAAAAGCAGCTTACTTAATTTTTCTTCCTTATCTTCCCTTGGCATTAAACTGTCATGGACTGAAGATAAGAAAATGTGTTTGCTTGGTATTTTTACCTGCTGGCAAAAAAATTAGTTGGGACTGTCATCCCTAAGGGTAGAAAAAGAGAGGAAATGACCTGTAAATTATTAGAGTCATTTAATGCAATAGCATAGTGTTGGAGTAGGGTTTCCAAAATGTTAAAAATTATTCCAGAGAACCTCCAGAGCATTTCCAAGGTATATTTGCAAGAAGGGCTGACTTCCCGCTGACCAGACTTGGTCCTCCCTGATTGTGGAGCTTTGCAGAAGGAGGCTGGAGACATTTCTGTCATAGCTATGGGACAGTGCCAGCTGGCCCTTACCTAGTGCACAGCTCTGCTCATGCAGATCCATTCCCAGTAAATGGAACAACTTCAAAGAATGAAAGCTTCAAAACGTGTGCTCCAAAGTGCTAAATAAGTAGAGGTATGCTTTTATAATTATTTCTGTGATCTGCATTTATCGAAGGAAGGAAGGAAGGAAGGAAGGAAGGAAGGAAGAAGGAAGGAAGGAAGGAAGGAAGGAAGGAAGGAAGGAAGGAAGGAAGGAAGGAAGGAAGGAAGGAAGGAAGGAAGGAAGGAAGGAAGGAAGGAAGGAAGGAAGGAAGGAAGGAAGGAAGGAAGGAAGGAAGGAAAAGCCTGCACGGGTAGTGCGATGCCCCTGGTCTTCTGTGATTGAGCCCATGAAAAGCATGGCTTAAAGCAGAATTTGCTCTAAAATGGAAACGCCGTATGTGTGGCATTTTCCCCTTTGAATAAGTTAGTGTGGATCTGATAACAGGAGAATCAATGCCTTCAAACTGAGCCCAGGGTGGTGGGATGGCTTTGGATATGTGGCAAAAGCTGTCTGCACACCCACAAAGGAGCACAATAAAGCAATGAAGAAGGAATCGACACAGTACCCTGCCCGGATACTCCCATGAAGTCAGCTCATCCAAGGCCAGTCTCCAGAAGCTCAGAGGAGCTCAGGTAGGGTGGAATGCAAGATAAGGACTCTTTAAAAAGGGACTGGACCTTTAGAGATGTTTTAGTTATTGCTAGGCAGTAATTACAGTGGCAGGGCCTCAAAGCCATGTCTTATCTTTGTCTGCAGCAGCCAGTAGCAGGGAAAAAATATTTGTCTCAGAATCTTTAATCCTAGTCTGGAGGAAAATGATGCTGCTCAGTCACTGCATGAACATTGTTCATGCTGAGTTCTGTCAGGTTCCTAAGGCTGCAGAGATGTCCTTCACTCCCAGTGAGGGCACAGGTGTCCTTTAGACTGGCACACTGACCTCATAGCATCAGCTCCTCTTACAAGCCTTTCTGTGCTTGGGTAGGGTGTCCTTGTCAAAGAATAGCTGAAGGTTATCTGGGGAGTTTCTTCTGAGCTTCTATGAAAGCCCCAGAGGCCAACAGCCTGAGGAGACATCAGCAGAGTTCCACAGTCTGAGCAAAGACAATACCTCCCACAGAAAACCTCTACCTATCACACATAGGACACAGCAAATCGCCTTGAGTTCCCAGCATTGCTCACATGAAAAGTCTCAGAAATCTGGGACCAGTGCTTCATTTTTCACTTCAGAGCAGATTTGAGAGTAGGGAAAAAGTAACCAAGACCAAAGTCCAGGGTAGGAACATCTACCCATTACTCTTCCACGTTCATGCCAGTCAGGTAAGTACTGCGCAATCTGTTCATTACAGTTGTGTCTTAATGCATAAAGCAAACACTGATGGTTACAAAATATTCCCAACATTATCAAAAAAACCTGTTACCTATAGGTGACTAAATGATACCACTCAATGATGTAAACATCAATACTATGGCTAAGCGTTTATCTCCTGCTTCCAGAAACAAGCCTTGTAACAAGGCAGGTCTGGGGTATGTTAGAAATCCATTAAACAAAAGCAAAGCCTCGGTAAACTGTAGCTTTACTGTGTAGTGACAAAACCAACAACAGAAGCAGCAACAAATGACACACACAAACATCATCTGTTTGATTTATGACAACCATTTTTATTAGGCTAAAAAAATAAATCAGGAGGCTCAAATTGGCCTGCTATGCTTGATACCTGAATAAGATTCAGATTTCTGCTGATGCAGACTTGCAAAGAAGCACATGGCCTGGCAGAGAATTTACAGAGCAACTCTTGCTTCTAGGTATCAATATTACCCAAAGCTATGAAGACAGAGGCTGACATTCTGCCTTTAAGAAGCTAAGTATACTTTAAACAGATTGAGCTACTAATGTGTTATGAGCTTCTTTCTTAATAGTATTTAATGCATATTTAATTCTGATTTCAAATAAGTCAATACAAAATTTCAATATATTTGAAGCATAACTGTATGAAAGCTTAAATGTGGTAAAAATCTTTTTGCCAAAAAATGACCTGAATTGATAGTTTTTAGAGAGGTCTCTAGGTGGAAAATACACTTCACTGCTCTAAAAAGACTGATGAATTAATTAATAAAAGTGGAAATAGAATATTCCATTAGGAAGGCATAAAGTGAAGCAGTGCTGTTAGATTCTTCTGTATGTGATTAATTATAATACTGTTCAATAAATTAACACCTCTTCAGTATGCCAAAGGTCTTACATTTAGCATTAACATCTGATATACACTGTAGATACTATAAATGCAGCTGTAGTCCAAATAGTACTACGCTTATTAGGAACATTGACTTTCATCCTGTGTATCATGATGAGAGTTCAAGAAACAATTGTTTTAACAGCTCTGGTTTATCTCCCAGGTTTTACAACATACATATTTTAACATGGAGTGCTTGCTACTAAGTGCCTTTTGTACACTTCCTGTACTTCCAAACTATGCTTTTCCTCAAAAACCTTCCTCCAGTCATTAGCACCACTTACAAAGAATCCATCTTGACACTGTAAGATTTAATGCAAAAAGGAAGCTTTATTGACATACCTTTATGTAGGATATAGTTAATAGGAAGGGAAAAGTCTACAACATACAGTAATACGCAAGAAAATAAATTAGACAGCTTTACACCAAAGTTTATGGTGTAGTTTTTTAATTTGCCAGTAAGAATATCACTGTCCTTTCTCATTCATCTCAAATAAAACATGAAATAAATATTCAGAGTTGTAAGTGCAACATCATAATTATATTATTAGTAGTAATTGCTATTATTCTGATTGTTTTTGTTACTGTTGTTTCTATTATTGTCACTGTTCTGATTATCAGCATTATTATGACAACTCCTTTTGTACAGCAAGAAAACATATCTGCTTCAGAAAAGCTTGCTAGGATAGCATCATCTCTTACAGCTTCAGAGGACCTCATACCTTTGAATACTTCACAAATGCAAGGCATGGTGGCGTAGGCAGTCCCCTGTAGGTCAGCAGCAATCAGTGATTTTTCCAACACACTAGCTAAAAGTGTTTCAGACTGTTCTGTTCCTTTCTCTTCCCTTTTGTTTTGCAAAATTCCCCACTGACTTTTAACAGTCATGGGCAGCAGAGGAAGGCATAGGTTACCTATTTATTGATTATTTCTAGTAGTGAGCGTTTCTTAACTTGAAGGGCCCTTCTCATGTAAGGGAAAGGGCAGCTCTTCACAGTCCTTCACAGAAAACAATCCTAAACAAGCTGCAAATGAGTCACTTAAAAACTATCTCAATGACACCACTCCACTTAGAAACTCACAGACTCCAGAGGAAATATAAAGGAATCTGTTTTTAATGACAACTCAAAGGACAGCTAACATGTATCATATGGTGTTTATTCCAATTTCATCATTGTTAACATGGCCTCTGACACATGGTCATTGAACATGAGATAATTAAGGGAAATTAGGCTTCATACTTTGGCTGTAAGTGAATATGGTAACATGGCTGACTAACTTTAGAAGAATGTGGGTGTTTTTCATACACACTGAGGGAGGAGATTTGGAATACCCATATGTGACTAACAATGTATGTAGTATTGCATTTTATTTAAATTGTATGCTCTGTCTCACCCCTCCAAAATGTATGGTATATCCTAAGCCTGTGGTCCTGCCCCGAACCATCCTGTATCTGTAATCCCATTGGCACAAGTCTGATTCCACACTCACTTTCAATCTGCCTCTTAAACCGTGTGGGCGAGACCAGCCACCCTCTTAGCCTTTCTCCCCTCCCTTAGCCTTCCTCCCCTCTTGCTCCTTCCCTCCCCTAGGCTCTCCCTTTCCCTCTCCCCCTCCCTCCCCCTTTCCTGCTCAGTAACCATGCTGCCCCTGGGGGTGGGACCCCAAATAAACCCTCATTTAATCAGCACCCTCAAAAGCTGTGTGGAGTCTCCTTGCCTGCCTGCTGCTGCCAACACTCAGCTTAGGGGGCTTTCTGGAGACTCCCCAGGGAGCCCCCTTCCCCCAAACAAACTACTACAAATGTAAGACTCTCCGTTGATGGTCTTCTCAGTTTACTTCAGCAACACCAGAGTTTTGGCCTATGCAGATCAAGAAATAGAGGGTCCAGAAGAAGGGGCAAGGCAGCAGAAATACCAGCATGCTGACATGGTCCTGAAAAGAGATTTGATGACTGATAGAATGGACACTCATTGCAGTGTCACTGAGGGTCAGATCTCTGGGACATTGTGATCAAGGAAGCAGATTAACAGACTCTAAGTGCTCCTTGTGCTTTTTCAGACATCTGCCTCTTCCTAAAAAGTATGATTAGCCTGAATAACTTGGGAGTGGGACTAGATGATAATTAAAGTCCCCTTCCAACCCAAACCATCCTATGAACTAGTCAGCATTTTATTGCCATTCTAGGCAAATAAAATATTCCTGGTTGTCATGGAAAGATGGTGGCAGGTCCCATATACAAAGATGGGCAAGTGTATCAGCAGTACTTTTTTCTCAGAGGTAAACTAAAATGTTTATATTCTGTAAGCAATGATCCCTACGTCAGTGTTTTAAATGGTGAACTAACAATCTGAGATGGTATTTTATCACTTGAAGCATTACATAAATGAAGATCTGACATGCTAGAAGTCATAGTTCTTGATACATTCTAAAAGTATGTAACCAGTTCTAGCAAAACCCTACTGCAGGACACAGCCTTAAAGTTAAGAAGCTTTCAAAGGGCAGCAACAGCCTCATAGAAGATACATTCTCAGAGGGCTGTGAAATATAAGAACATCCAGATTCAAGATGTCTTTAGGTGACAGGTAGGAGACAGAAACAATTCTGAGTAATTATGACTGTATGCTGGATATTCTGTTGTCCACGCTTGTACCTAGGACACACAGGCTAAATTCTACTTTGGTCTGTTGTATGATGCATACTCTTTAAATACTCCATTTTAACTTGGCCTCATGTCACAGGAGTCTAGCCAGAATAAATATTTATCCTGTAATACATAAATAAAATAATCTAAAATATTGCTTAAGCGTCAATATGTGCTCTATTATGCAATGTTTGATTAAAGTACACAGTTAAGCTCATTCTCATGTTACAGGTCATGAAAAGATCCGTTTTCAGGCTTTTATTTCACTGTTCTGTTTGCTTAGCTGAGTTATAATTAAAAATAAGGAGGTTTAGCCTGATCTAGGTGGATGTATTTATAGGGCCTGTGAGTACTGTTTCATATTATTTTATGAAGAATGGATCATGTCAATTCTGTCAATCATTCCAAACCCTTCCAGGCTAAGAATTTAATTTGTTGCCAGAGGCTATATTTTTATGAGAATTTGAGTGAAAATGATCTTGCTACTTTCAAGTATGTGAAAAAATGGTTGGGAAAATAGTTTCTTCCCTCATTTTATGGCCATTATGATTTGTACTTAATAAATGAAGTCATGACTGAAGTCTTGATTTAGTTAGAACTTTAATAATCATGGTATAATTCATATTAGTTTTATCCAGTTTTATTTTTTTTTTCTGCATCCTCAAAAGATTTTTAAGCCTTATCCTAGTTAGAGCTTTAATGAGCATAGTATAAAGCTCATGAGTTTTATCTAGTTTTATTTTGTTCTCCACTCTTTATAGAGTAAAATAACATTTAAATTTTTCCCCTACAGGAAATGCTATCATTATTTGTTATCTAAATTACAAATTTAGCAGAATGGAAACAACAACTACCACCAGCCTGCTGTTGCCTTACTTTCATGGGCAGCTGAGCTGAAGTCCATCATTCGGCTAAGGAGCAGAAATTTGACCTTGTTAGTTGTCATTCAACACAGGGCCCTGCATAAAAGCCCAGATCACTAAAGGATATGGGACAAGTAAGGAGCAGAAGAGCTGAATCCTGGCTCATGATAATGTTGGGCAGAGTTGTAATTCCATCAGAAGGAAAATCTCCACTCACATGCCTGGTTCTTAGCAACAAAGGGAGACCTTTGTTCAACAGTTCAGCTGCTGAAATAGCCAGGTAGCAGCAACATGGGACTCAGCCTTTTTTAATGACAGATATTTGAGCCAATTCAATAGAAGAGATTTTAGCCACCTTTGCCCACATTGTATCACAGAAACACAACATGCCTGCAGTTGAAGAAGGCCCAGGAGATAATTTAGTCCAACTTCATTATCAAAGCAGTTACCTTTGGAGACCTCAGCACGAGGCTGAGCAGGACTGTGCCCAGCTGGCTTTGGAATCTGACCAAGGACAGAGAGTTCCTAGTTCAGATCTTGACCATTTGATAAATATAGAGCATACTTGATATATATTATGAATGCTACCTTGATATTTATATAATCTTACTGCTGTGAATCACAGAAAATTGGTCCGTGTTTATAGGCAATACAGAATGCAAACACATTGTGGAATATACACAGTTGAATGTAAACCTATTTCATTTATGAGAAGCTAGTCTGGAATGTAAAAAAAACTGGAATTAAGCTAGTAATATGGTTTAGGTGAATTTGTATGTAAAGATAGAGAAGAAATATTATTAATATATAGCTCTGGAGACTTTTGGAGTACTTTCTGATCAAAATTTTTTTCATCAAAAAGGTACTGCTGTACTGCTGACACCTAAAAGGAAAAATCAGAATACAGATGACACATGACATGAATCTTGTGTTCTGAGAGGGCAGATCTACCTGCTGTCCTTCACATTGAAGACTGTGAGGTTCGAGAAAGATTCAGGCACTTTAAATTTAAAAAGAAGTTGAAATGGAATAGGACCAAGAATACTGCCTGGTACCAAAGTTAAAATTCTAGTTTTTAAAATTTTAAAATTTTAACTTATTTTTATGGGAATGTAATAATTTTATGAGACACTGCTGATAAAATTAGGCTTAGATTCTTTTAGCTTACTGCAGTTACTGGAAACCAGACTAGTTGAATGATTTTGTTTGAGACCATTATTGCTCTGAAACTGATATTAAGGAAAAACAAAGACAAATATAACTGAAAAACATAACTGTTTCAATGGTAAGGAAATAAATTATTTTATCTTCTCTGCTTTCTTAATTTTTAATAATTTTTTCCCTGAGGCCACAGATTTATACCATTATATTATTAAATGGTAATCCAATACAAGACCTTCTCCTGACAAATATGCTTTATCTATATATGAAATATATGAAATATGAAGAAGGCCATAATAACAAGACTACTACCAGTCTTCACTTCAATTTCAGTAATATCATCACAGTTTACATCACAGGTCAAAGGGACATTTTACTGGCATGTCTGGAAAGTTGTACCTGTGGTAATTTCTCTTTGCAGAAGGGAGAATATTCTCCCATTTTTTCCAAAAAGCAGGATTTACTATTTTCAACAATTATTTGAACACACTTCCCTGTTACTAAGATTTGAAGAAAATAATTTTTTGGTTTTTTTTAATCCCAGAATCTGGTTAATCTGGTTTTGAAAAAAAATAGGTAATGTAACTGCAAGTTACTGACATTGAAGATATTTTTTTCTTGGTCTTTGGGCAAGCCTGATGCCAGAAATATGTTTAACAGAGTTATGGGAAATTCTCTTAGATTTTCCAAAACATTTTCCAGTAGTTTGAATCTTCTTATTTGATATCCCAGCTCTTATAACTGTGTAAACAGATGCTCAAAGATATTAACCAGATTTCGGCTCAGAAGTGTCGAGCTCTCAGTATTTGTTTACTACAATGGAAATGACAAAGTGCCAGCACAGTTCTCACAAACTTTTTTACATGTCTTTCAGTAGTTTCAAAGCTTATCCCATTTTACCCCAAACCTCTTCAGGAAAAAAAAAAAAAACAACAACAAAAAAAAAACCAAAACAAACAAACAAAAAAAAAAAACCAAAAAAAAAACAACCCCACACAAACAAGGCTTCCACCAACAGAGAAAGCACACAAGAAAGCACACAGAAGAAAATAGACATCCATGGAAACTTCAGTCTCCTCTTT